AGATTGGTTGTGGTGTTTGTCTTTATTTGAAAACAGAAATATTAGTTACATTCAACGAAGCTAAGAAACAATATAGATAGATAGATAGATAACTCTTTATTGTACAAGAAAATAAATTACATAATTATAGAGCAGTTTTTATACATTTGAATGAGTCTTATAATATAGGTACAGTTACACAAAGAAAGTAAAATTAGGTATAAAAAATAATTTTGCTATTGGCGGTATAATTATTGGTGGTACAATATATGTAGTTTCTAAAACGTTGTTCAGATTAAAAATATGAAAATGTATCACTTACTATTTCACTAATTAACTGACTTAAAAACTATGTTATTTTAATTTTAAACAAAAAAAAAGAAATTGGAGGTTCTCCATGTGCACTAACCTTAAAAAATCAGAAACCTTTCCAAAACGGAACAAATAGGAATGGTTGTCAAAATATCAAAAATATTTAAATAAATCAAAAACATAGTTTAAACAAATGTAGCTATTGACATAAGTGGCTTGGCAATACTTGGCATAACATCATATCGACGGGACAATGGGCATTCCAGTGCGGGCGGGCAGCGGGGGCCCGCCGGCGGGTGGTGAAGCCGAGGGGAGGGATCGACGTGTCCCGTCCTGTCCTATTGTGCAAGTCGACGTTTCCCGGACACCAACTTATTAATTAAGTACATAATGTTAATAACAACATTGTTTGCTTTGTGTCGTCAAAACAATCATCATGATACTACTCAAATTGATTTCTCAACTTTCGTAGAGGCAATCCGTAATATAGTTTACGTTGAAGCTTTTGATCGTTGTAACTGCAGTCTGAATGCATTAATTGAATTAACCAATCAAGATAGGGATTGGAGGAAATTGAAGAAAATCATACGTTTTGCGTAAATAGAGACTGAACATCTGTGTAAACATTTATTTTGTGTGCGTATTCCACTTATTGTATGTTTGCGTTGTCTGCGGTTTTACATTCAAGCGCTCACCCTTCTGAAGAGATTCGGATATTTGTAATTTGTTTTGTCTGCACCCTTTTTAATTTTATAACTAATAATAACATTTTATTCCATCATTTTAAACGTTATTATCACTTACATCGAAACTTACACTTATAAATTCTCGTATTTAAATGGATGGTATTTAATTGTCAACAAGGTTACGAATGTTCTTTTACACCTATGTGGGTTTGATGATGGTGATACACTTAGGATGATGGTAAATATAGTTTTTAAAAAAATTCTGCTTTTGAGGCTTGAGAAATTGATTGACGGCTGATGTTGCTGTTACCGAGCATTGCACACTAGCCTGAAAGAAGAGGAGGCCAGTTTTAAAAGCATATTAGTATTATTAACTTTCGAAGTAAAAAAAAGCAACAAATAACCGTTATAACAGGAAGCAGAAATTGGAACAATAATTTGTATGGTAGTTTATATCGTGGAATTATTAATTAAGGAAATTTGAGATTTTTTTTTCACAGGTAGGTATTTTTGTAGAAACATCTGCAGAGCATTTTAGTGTATTAAAATTATGTCTTGAAGTAATGGCATTATATGTATTTAATGTTATTGGTGTGGTGTAAAATAATACAAAAAAAAGACGTGTGGCACTCGGGGACTGCCGCGGTAAAGCTATTGCATAGCATTTTGTATCAACTTATGCAATTATAATTATTTATTTATTTTATTTATGCAGTATTTCTTTTTCTTTGATATTAATTCAAGTTACACTTTTTGAGCGTGGTGACCGATAAGAAAACGTTTTTTTATCTTTTATTAAATAAAAATATTGAAGCATATATTACAATTTGTTTTTAAATAAATAAATAAAAAATATTATTATTAAATCAAATTACATATCCATGTAAGATTTTTCTGCATTATGTTGACGAAATTTCCTTTGACGTTCAGCATTTGATTTTGGTACTGTTTTTTGTTTTGTTTTAGCGTGAGGTTTTTTTTCGTTACGGAATTTCTGGATTCGGTCCCCGCGCTCAAGGCCCTCGATAGAAGCTATGCAATAGCTTAAAAAAAACAACAAGAAAATTGACGTTCAGCGACGTTGGGAACGCGCCCAACTCGAAAGAAAATGTAGGTGAGTAGGTATTCAACTAGATTGTGCACGAGCGATTCGTTAGCAAGAAAATTGTCTCCGTAATATCCAATAGAAGTTTTATAGGTAAATAAAAATGTAGTAAAACAAGAGGCTGAAGAATAATTTATCTAAGATTTTCCCTACTACTAATCTAATCTAAGACTAGGTATGAGTTTATATGCGTTTGGATAATTTTGTTGTTAATATAGTGATTATTAGACAAAGCAAGTGACACAAAAGGATAAACAAGAATACAGCCATGATGCGGAAGCAGAGGACTGAGTATTTTCAGGGAGAAGCTTAGATTATGTGGTTAGAATTACTTTAATGGCAAAGTGATTATTATGCTAATTTTTTATGACAATCACATTCCCTGAAATATGTGAGATTGTTTTGTATATAAACTGCAAGACCGTCCTACCAGATTGAATCACTTTCCTTATTTTTAGCCTCAATAGCAATTTAATGTTAATAGGTGTATAGGTATGTTTATTTAATCACCTTTCCTACCTTTTAAGGGTATATAATTCCTATTTAAGGGTATATAATTATAGTCGTATCATTACAAGGGTACATTAATGAATTCGCACATACCTAAGACTCCTTAAATAGGACCCTTCTTAACTTTCGTGGCTCTTGGTATTAGCACCTTATATTAAGAGTAATTTTAATAAAGACATGATTTCAGAGTTTTTGAAAAGACGTATTCGAAGCAAGACATATAATTAAAAAATTAAATGTAATATTAGGACAACATTAATACAACAACACAAAGCATAATTAATATTCAATTTACCCGAAAAACTTTTAAACGATAAAGGTAGGTCAACGAATATAACAATATCTTTATTACTTAAAAATAACCAGTCTCAAGTCATAAAACGTACATTATAAATAAGTTTGTTCAAACTTAAGAACCGGTCCTTGAGAGAAATTGTTAACTGTACTTGATGACTTCGTAACTAAACACTTATTACGAAATATTGTATAAAGATTATATACCTTTATGAGTCGTTGAATTATTCAGCCAGTCGTTATTACATTATACATTAATGCTTTAGTTTACAGTTTGGCTTAATTGATTGCAAGTTTCAATTGCTATATTAAACTAAATTATTTTACATTTACGATGGATATGAATAGAAAACTTATTAAAAATTTGATTTACGTTTAGCCACCGTTTTGGAAATTAAGCTTGAATGAGAGCAAATTTTGATTATGACTGTAATTTAAAAGCATTAAGACCGTTGTTTTGCATTTCTGTTGCATTTAACGGCGCAAGTGTCAGCAATAATTATTCTTCAGAATCAAGATTACGTAAGTATTTTATTAATTTGCACAGACATCCTTGTGAAATTAGGAATACTTTTATAAGGAAGAACAGTAGAAATCTGATTTTTTTTAACAACATGGGCAATAAACATGGCTATAAACAATAAATATGATTTAAAATTTATTGTTTATAGCTATAGCCAATATAGAACTCTAGGTGTCCAGTATAGATTACGAGCTGTTATGGTACAAATTAAGTCTATACAATCCTGGTTCAAGCTATTCTGTTTAAAAAATAAAACAAAACTTTAAAAACGGTCGAAATTCGAACGCCAAGTGATCTCTAGCCATGATATAAAAGGACCAAAGGAGTTTGTCAATGTGGAAGTATTAAAAAAAACGATAAACTCTATGTTCAATCTGTTCTACTCATTGGTAATGGTATTAAAATGTATGTAATATAATAATGCAGACTAGTGATTTAGTGTAGGTTTGGCTCGCAAGGATCTATATTTCTTAGTTCGCATCGAGGGTAGACGATGACTGAAACTTAAATCGCTAGAATAGTGTCTTATTCTATTTTACATTTCTTCTATTTATTTAATCTATTCCTTAATATTTGTTGAAAAAAAAAAACAATATCTTTAAACGAAAAGCAAATTGAATCGTTTAGGGACACGATAATAACCTACACGTTTTGTTTTGGTGATAACGTGGATAAGATTTTATTAATAAGTCCAACTGGGTCAACTGGCCTATTGTTATGAAATAAAATTACAGATAAATTGCTTACTTTAAAATGTCTTTCAAATAATATTGACATGAAGGTATGTTGTGTAGACACCTGAGCAACATTTCATTAGCTATTAAAAAAACGATACCAGTTTCTGGCATAAATAATACATACTGTAAATTATGTTTGCAACATAAGCTTAAATTACCTTAGGAATAAGTTCTGAATCGTTTTATATTAATATTTCATGAATCTCCAAGGTTTCCCTGTTCTCTTTGCAAAAGTAGGTTTACCCACACCAGAGAAAATCCAATTCGCTGTGTCGTGCACACGCGCGCACACAGCGACGCGTGACTTGAGGGAAAAATAAAATTTCTCGCTAAGTTTATAATGGGAAAACTTTGAGAACCACTTAATTATGTTAATGTTTGAAACAAAATTTTAGAAGAGACGTTTAAACATGACAATGATTTAATTTAAAACAGTAATATACATGTGTATTGTTGGTGTTTACCTACTAGGAAATGCATTAGATCGTTTAAGTAGCTGAATAAAAATATATATATATCATGGGATAATTTTTCCTTGGCATGATATTAGTTTCCGGAAAGGATTGTGTTCAAACAATTGACGTAAGTAAATATCCATTTATGAAATTGCTATTTCTGTCTTTTACCATAAACTCAATCTATTAAGACTGTATTACTATGGTATGAGTATAGTTTATTTTCCTTTAAGCAGACTACTAACTGTATTGTTGATCTCTCCTAGTTCTATCTCATTTAGAACATTTATGACAAAATTTGGAAAACTGTCTCAAAATATAAATATTAAAGTCGGCTTACTCATTAAGGCTGTGGGTTGAGGGAACTATAAGCCGCATATGTTTTAAAAGAAAAAAATCATGAAGCTCATTTTCATTTTAATGAAAATATCATTTCCTTCCAAGGAGGTATATCCAAAGTTTACATCCGTCATTTTGCATGGGCCAACGGTCGAGTGGCGGTGGCAGGGGTGCAAGGGGGTCGGCGCGGCGGGTGGAGCGGTGCCACCCCGCGAGTTCCCCCCCACCCCCATCGCGGGATCGATACGTCATTTGAGCTGGTCGCCATGGAGACCGCGAACGGAGCGGGGCGGCGCCGCGGCTTCGGTATGGTGGGTGCACAGCGCTCCGCGGAAAGCGCGAGACCTCGCCAAATGAAAAAATAGATACAGCCTTATTTGGGACAAATCCCTCTATAAAAATTTGTCCTTTTGGAGATTCTTTGAAATTGTATGTTGTGCTTATATTATTTTATTTGGATTATGTAACGTTCTTGGACAATATTAGCTAATACTTTTAATAATATCATAAATGTATATGAATTGAATTTTAACGACAATTAGGTAAGTTATTTACTTGCTAAATATTCTAAATTCTCTATCAATAGATATAAACGGGGTCAGTATGAAATAAATGTTTATTGGACGCTCGAACAGAGTAGGTATCCGTTCAATTTATTCAGTATTACGAACATTTTTACGAACCAATTGAATTCGTAGTAGGTAGGTATCTATGTAGGTACATTTTGTCTTTATTCATTTGTAATACGGAGCAAAATGGTTTTTCACTATTATGTCAATATTTTAAATTTGTTGGGCTATAGAAATTTCATGTACTTGTATGTAAGTTGTTTTTGGTAGATAAAATGTATGTGTGTAGAATATTCATTACATATTATGTACTCGTATGTACGAGTAAAACAACTTATTTTTGAATTCGCTATTTGGAGCATATTCGAATAAATTTTATTATCTGTTACCTTGAGATTTCAGTGACGTATTAGTTAAATTATAGCAAAGGTTGAAAATAAAGAATTAAACTCTATAACGAATGGTACCTAACTAATAAATCAAATGTGGGTGCAATTATCGCCTACTGGTTGCTGACCAAGTTGGATGACATGTTTAACGATAAACAATGTTCTTACTTAGTGGACTCTTCCTTTCTGGAGTTGAACATATTAAGTAATAAACAAGAAACTTTAAAAGCGTATTTTAAAGTGGGCAATCTCATTTTTAAGTATATTTATGAGATTTCATAAAATCTATAGGTACCTTAGACATCTCAATCGATCATCATCATCTATACCCTATTAATGTCAAAGCATGTTGATCCACTCCTCTTAACCTTTATATTAATTTCCTTTTTAGGGTTCCGTACCTCAAAAGGTAAAAAATTAACCCTTATAAGATCACTTTCTTGTCCGTCTGTCCATCTGTCCGTCTGTCCGTGTGTAACCACCGATTTTCTCAGGAACGGGTAGACTCAGCAAGTTGAAATTTTTACCAGATACTGAGGTCTATGGTGTGTAAAAATCAAGGTCCTGAGTAAACATATTATTATTTTTCAGAATTTTCTCTTTACTTGTGCTGTAAGTCCTTGCTTTTAACCAAAATTGACAATTCTAGGTCAACCGGAAGTACCCTATAGGTTTTGGGTCGAAAACCTATATGGTAGTTCCCGTTGATCTAGAATCACGAAATTTGGCAAAAACAAACGTCTTTCAGCACAAATAAAGGAATAATTCCAAGAAATAAAAAAAAAGCCCAAACATTTTCCCGAAAATCTACGTAAAATCTGGGTAGGTACGGAACCCTAGGCGTACGAGTTCGACTCGTACCTGACCGGTTTTTTTTTGTATTTTGTATGTAGTTCTATAAAGAGGTTTTGAAGTTACTTTGAAGAGCTTTTTATTTACAACTAGTTAGTAACAGTGCATGTAACTAAAAACTAACTAAAAAGTAGCCTATATCCTTTATCAAGAATCAAACTATCACCATACTAAGTTTCATCTGAATCGGTTCAGCGGTTATTGATTCTCCATACAACCACCCTCCTTTTCACCCCCTTAAATGATGATTTCTGAGATAAAAAAACTATCCTATGTCCTTTCCTGGGAATCAAAATATCTCTATAGAAAATTTCATCTCCATCGGTTCAGTTTTTTAAGCGTGAAGAGGTAACAGACAGACAGACAAACTGACAGACAGACACACTTTCGCATTTATAATATTAGTATCGATTTACTGAAGGAACTACAGAGCAAAGAATATTAAAAGAAAAATAAACGGAGTATTACATATTTAAATAATACGACCATGAGTAAGTAGGCAATTACTAAGCAAGACTAAATTGTCATTGTTCCTAAATTGTTTTATGTATTAAATATTATGTACAAAATATTTGTTCTCATTTTTGTAACTGTTTCTTATTCTATATTTTTAGTGACCATTATTTATTATGATTGTTTAGGAGAGGAGAGAAAGCGGGAATGCTACCAAGCATGGGCAAATGCGGCGTAAATACCAGCATGCTAAAAGAACAATATAACTTTGACTCTAGGTCCCTTAAAAGAGCCATTACTAGGGCGAAATCGGAGCACATCAGCCGGATCGGTGAGAGACTAGTGAGACTTCCTTCTGGAACTCTTGTAATTCTGGTCTCTTGCCAAGGCTGTCCAGGGGAGTTTCTGTAGCCAATCCTATCCACCCCTACAGATGGGAGATAATTCGTTTGTCTATGATGCCAAGGAGAAAGAGAAAATCCAACTCGACTTTAGATGACGAGAGAAACGTAAAGCCGACCATACTGCGGTACCAGAGCTATATGCCGGATATCCGGTTCACACAAAAACGTGTTGAACACACGTACACGTGTACTCCGGAGTTGGCACCGGTTTTAACGCGCCTTCTTCGTCTCTCCAACTCCCAAGTCGTCGTCCTGAACTCCTGGAAGGTAGCGTTTGTGCAACCGATCCCTAAAAAAGGTGACCGCTCCGACCCGTCCAACTACAGGCCTAAGTTATACCTCCTTTGTTCACTAAGAATATAATCAACAGGCAGCTACTTAGATGATCACCAGCTACTCAATGACCGACAATATGGTTTTTACCGGGGTCGCTCAGCTGGTGATCTTCTCATCTTTCTAACACACCGGTGGGCACAGGCGATCGAGACCAAAGGAGAGGCTTGTGCGGATAGTTTGGACATAACGAAGGCCTTTGATCGGGTCTGGCATAAGGCGCTTCTCTCGAAGCTCTCTTCCTTTGGGCTTCCCGAGAAATTGTGTAATTGGGTCACCAGTTTCCTTGCGGACAGAAGCATTAAGGTCGTTGTCGACGGTGCATGCTCCGACTTGAAATTCGTAAATGCTGGTGTCACCTACACTGTTTCTTCTGCATATCAATGACATGTTGCAAACTAGTAGCATCCATTGCTATGCAGATGATAGAACAGGAGATGCCCTTTATACCGGCCGCCCCAATATATCTCGGGAAAACGTTATCGAGAGTCGAAAAAACCTAGTGTCTGAAATTGAAACTGCTTTAGCGGAGGTTTCAAATGGGGGCCGACTAAATCTAGTCTAGTTCAACCAAAAAAAGAAACAGATCACAAAAAAGATACCATTTGTCATATCACCTCAGTTTGCGAGCACCTCCCTAATTGCCTCAGCCAGCATCGCAATCCTAGGCATTGACATATCGAGCGAAGTCCACTTCGGGGTCACTTAAAGGGCAAGGTCAAATTGGCCTCGAAGAAGCTCGGTGTGCTGAACAGATCGAGGCAGTATTTCCCTCCGGCCCACCGCCTTCAGCTCTATAAGGCGCAAGTCTGGTCGCATATAGAATACTGTTCTCATCTCTATGCAGGCGCACCTCAGTACCGACTTCTCCCACTGGACCGCATCCAACGAAGAGCGACTCGAATCGTCGATAGTCTAAACATCTCCGATCGGCTCGATTCCTGGGCGTTACGTAAAGATATGGCTTCACTCTGCATTCTCTATCGCATATATCATGGAGAGTGCTCCGAGGAATTGTTCGGACTAATACCAGCCGCAAATTGGCGCCATCGTTCCACACGGCAAAATTTTCATCGTCATTACCCGGATAGTTGGCGCTCCACTACTGTGCGCTTTTCGAGACACTTTTTGCCCCGCACAGTCAATCTGTGGAACGGCAACGCGTTTGTGACTCCTGAGTTGCAGACACTCATGGGCGGCGGTGGTTACTTTCCATCAGGTGACCCGTCTGCTCGTCTTCCCCCTCTAACATGAAAAAAATAAAAAAGTAAACAATACTGTAGTGCTGTTATAGTAGGTACCTACCTTTACACTAGTCTTATGTAGGAGATAGTGTTGGCAGGTACTAGTAGGATTTCTCTGTAAGAAATGGTAGAAAACTACATAGAAATATTCTTTAGATGCAGATGCAATTTTTAAAAATTCTCCGGATATAATATAGTATAGACATATCTATAAAGATAGACATTACAATTTCATTACCCGACTGTCAAGGGAGGGTTATGTTTTTCGCGCGTATCTTGTATGTTTGTTTGTAAATTTCTTCATTACCTACCTAGTATCTTCCAAATGGCTAAATGGATTTCGATAGTCAAGGTATTGTTTTATCAGTCTCAAAAACCCAACTGTCCTTAGATGGCTTTTTGAAAGAAAAAACAATATGGCGCATTTTTGGTGCAAAATAGTAATAGGCTAATAAAAATAATTCCGGAGAAGTGCGAGTCGGACTCGCGCAAATAGGGTGTCCTACTTTGTAGGTACATATTATAAATAGTTCAGGAATCGAGTCAAGCAATTTTTGCCAATTCATTTTCCAAAATCTATAATTACTAATATTATTGTGTTTTATAAGTGAAATTGTACCTCGATGATGGATTACGTACTTTAAATAAATACTATTTTTTTATGATTTAATTACAAATGTATAGTTTTCAGATTTTTCACTATACTTGTAGTACAGGACGATTATTATTATGTCGATATTGTCACTGGTCTACGGGAAATTATGCGTTTAACATGCGTATAACTAATGCATTTTTTGCGGCATAAGCGGTCGTATCTTTTTGTTCATGTTAACTTAGAAGTTTGATTATACAAGGGTCTGTAGACACGAGTATATGGTTTGCTATCTACGCGTTACCGAGATAAAGGGTACAGACGGACGGGCAACAAACTGATCTTATATATAAGGCTTCCGTGTTTTCCTTTTGTGGTACGGAATCTTAAGAATAAGCAAACTTATCGAGTAGGGTATCAAAATAGAGGCAATTAAAAGGCCATTACAAAGATATATGTGAGTTATATATTTAAATGATTAAATAAGGACCAATAAATTGGTTAAAAAAAGGTTTTGATTG